CCGCTTCATTTAGTAATCGACAAGAATTCGAAGGCCGTCTTGGACTGAACAAATGCCAGCGATATTATCACTGAAATACTGTCACCGTAATTCTACGTTATTGGACATAAGCTGCATAGAGCAAAACAACCGGTAAAGTCCTCTATCTTCGATCGAACCCAATTTGCATATCCGCATGGCTGTACGCCAACCTTATTACCAATTCATGTGGGCGGTGCGACATTCATTCATTTGATTTTCTAAGTGACAAATGGATCATAACAACATTCCGCTTCACGTGTTAGCCGGTATTCCTGCTTCACCTAGATGCCCTCACCCTAGTCATTCGAGTTTTCTTCTAGGCCATTCTTTATGCGTCACCTTAATCGACGTTGACGGATTTTACACTTGTGATCTTTTTTTCTGCTATTCATGACACCGCCTCTATTCTCAAATGTGCTTCATTCCTGACTTAATGATATATTCACCACTGAGACGCATTGATTTTCCGTTTGTATTATTACAATCCTCGTGCCCTCATTGAAACATTCTATTCTCCTCCTAGAATTTCCTGATTGAAGAATGGACGTGCTCGGTCGGGTTCATGACAAGCACATAAATAGAAGGATATTGGGGTGCGAACCTTCAAGCCACATGACTTCCCACTCTCCGAACGCATCTTAACTACAAACTTTATGTAATCACAAGTCTTCTTTATTTTTTGAGCAAGTAACTAATGCACGAATTCATTTGTGTTTTTTTACACTACTTTTGAACTGATGGATATACCTGCGTTGATGTGAGACGTTTATCACCGGATGTCTGCGTGGTATCCGAATAGAGACCGCTTTGCAACGTGTAACTCGATTAAGCATGTTTCTGGCATCAGATTCAACCGAACGCTGCAGAATGAGTCCTCGCTCCTGTTCCGCATTGGTATTCTCTCCTTATTCTCTCTCTTTATCTACCACATAGATTTTCACTGAACACTGGCGCAGACAAATAGCTTCACTTCACCGAAGAAAAGCACCCAGTGGTCACATTTCCGTTTATGCAAGTCTCTGGTAGGGGTACAATCGCTTCTGCATAAGGCCTAATACTGTGTTTCAAAGTAAGCAGGAGGGTTTCAGCTTAGTTACTGATCAACCGTATCGCAGTCCACAATTCTTTTCAAGTTCAAAAGATTTTCTTTGATTTCGTTGTGTAATCAGCCAATGAGAATATACGTTTATCCGTCCATGACCCGGTAAATGTTTAAGAAATATGCATTGTTTGAAATCCTGAAAACACAGCAGATCACTCAGATGTAAACACGTTTGCTATTTCAAACGCACCTATCAATAAACGTCATTAAAATGCCTTTAGACTGGCCGTAACATGGGATCTCGGATTTCAAAAACCCTGTACTCAAGTCCCTGACAAGCAGTAATCAATTGCTCTGCCATCACCCCAGTACTAGAGTAGCTGAAATACTCGCACCAGGTGTTGAAATGGATCGTTCACGTTTGACTTATGATCATCAGGTCTATGTATTTCCATATTTCCCTAAATTGCTATGAAGTCGAACCATCGGGAGTTTTGGTTGCCAGTTTGGTTTCCAAGACCTACTGACCGGCTCACTCACTCTTGAGGTGGTACATAAGTTGGGTGGAAATTCACCTCTCGTTAACTTTAATACCCGTTCTAATATAACAAAGACATGTTGGAGCTTTCGGAATCCCTAGAAATAAACCATTTGTGAAAATTAAAAGACCATATCTCCCTTAGGGCCCATATCTAAAAACGCAAGGTAGTTTTATGTGACTGACATCAAGTGTTATATCTTTTGATCTTGCTATACGGATTTTACGTACGTCCTGCATTCGAATCACGTGTGCAACATCATGCCTTGATATAGAATTTGTGTAAATTCGGACTCTGGATATAACTTTATGATGCTCAGTAGTTCTTTCTTTTTCAAAGACGATTTTTGGAATAGCTGGATAAATTTAACAATTGCTAGACATCTGATAAACATCTGTCGCGCATCAGAGACCGAAATAAAAAGGGCGACAAACATAGGGTAAAAGTGGGTGAGAACGCGACACCAGTGGGAATTTTATAAAGGAAAGCTTCCATGGTTGAAGCACTTGCCATGATCACTTGAATAGAAGACATCTGTGAAGTACTCGAACGTGCATCAGGCATCCCATGACATCCACTTCAGTATGAATTCATCTCACATGTGCTCGTAAACAATAACTCCCACAATAACTGTCGTTTCATCAGTTCTTGTTAAAAGCATTAGCTCTTTATCGAATGTTGTTTGCAATGTCAAGTGATCCCTTTCGTAATCTATTTTCACAGAGATATAACCGTCAGAGCGTAGATTCGCAACTAGTCAGGAGAACGTTTGCAGCTCAGTGAATAAACAAACCGCCAGGTAAACAACTTATTTGTGGCAAACGAAGCTGATGAACGTGTCACGGAATATGTCAGTCACTTGGTGAAATTGCTGTTGCTACTGGACAACACAAGCAGTCATTTAGGAATAACAGGATAATTTTGAAGGAAATCTGTCCCAGTGTTGTTTATCCTATTATGTTTATGCTATTATTAAATTACATTGTTTTATGTTTTGCTTCGTATAAAACTGGAAACATGAAGTCCAGACTCAATCGACTTTCGCGGATAACACAGTCTAACCTCTTTCCGAGTAGCGTCCATTATGATTTAATAAAATAGTTCAGCTTGTTCAGAGGAACTCGTAACTTGTGGTCTAATCCTTCATGCTAGATCATCTGCATCTGACAGATTCACTCGTCAATCTCATGGGATATAAAGGAGAATGACGTCATTTTTTCCCGTTTGGTTGTATCCAACAACCAAAGGTTAACTATTCCTCCAACAATACCTAGTAAGTCCAAAGTCCGGCATTCAAAACTGAACGGCGTAATAAGAGGGACCGTTGCCATTATGCATCATACAAGCAGTTAAAGTCACCTTCCTGAGCACCGAAAGTATTCACTGCTTGATTATCCCTGTAGTGGAGAACATTAATTTTCGCCGGATCTCGTCGTCAGCGATGACAAAAGACTGGTCGCCCAATTAGAAAACGTGGAAATACGGATGATGGGTAATCAGCGAACCCCAAATCGCGTCTCACTGGATGCAGTGAGGTGGTCCAGAGGGCCATTGAGCGACCGGGTTGAGCGATTCGTGTCACATGATCAATGCGGATTCAGAGCTTGTAGGGATCGGTTTGACAGCATAGTACCGTATTTCCCAGTCGCATTGCGCTTGCTTTGGCTATAGGCTAGCACAAGCTTTGGATCGACACTGACATCCTGTTGGTTACTCGGTAGGTAACATAAAACGACTCGTTTAGATTGGCCTCATGACCGGGGTAGATTGTGTGACGTGATAAGTTATCTTGGATGAGGCGTTGAGTCTAGTGATGTCCCTGTGAAAGAGATGCTAATATATTCTCTTACCAGTTTGCTGTGTCTTGCGTCCAACATATTCCGCTGAATAACCGCAGGATGAGCGGCATCTTGTCTCTGAGATTTAATTTGAGCAATTTGTTGAATGGTAACCAAGATTGCATAGCTAAACCCGGAAGCATGCGTTTTACGGATTGATTACACAGAAATGAATACCAACAGACCCTATTTACAGGAGAGGCTCAAGTATATTGGATTTTCCGCACCATTCGCGGCCGATGGTTGGATAGGACGTGCAGATGTATTTCTGGCTAGAAATCACTCTGGATAACGGTTAGCTCCAAGAACGCTAGTTCTGTGCTTCACTGGACTTTGAAGCTAAGCTAATGGTCTGGGCTAACGGTTATACAGAAAGTTGCATAGCCAATAATGTCTGAGTATCTCATTCAACCGTCTGTCGTCACTGTTTCAAAAGGCTAAACTCATTGAACCCATTACATTAAGGCGATCTATAGACAGTTAGACGCCACCAGTTTCAATCAGTACAACGTAGGTTACAGACTGCAACTCTGGAATTTGGGTTCACGACCAAATCCTTTCTCAACTTAAACCTGAGTGGTATCCCTAACGGCTTATCTCATTAGTTACCCCTATTTTAACTAGTAGCTATGTACTGACCTAATGACGCGGTCCCGAAAACATTTATGTTTTTCACGGTGTTTTTGTTGAAAAATTGTTCATGCCCCGATACCCGAAACATCGTTTTAATGAAATCGGTATCCGAAACGACCTAACTGAATGGTGCAACGGAAAAACAGACATTTAGGAAAAACTGGATGTGGATGTTTTGTCACTTGTAATGACAGTTTTTTCATCATCACTTTTATCGTTGCTTAGTTTGCCTGATTGCCACCTAAACACGCAATTTTACTTGAATAAATTTCTTTCTTCAATGGAAGAAAAGTGCGACCGGGCTGGGCTGGTACAGTGGCTCTCTCCTTGAAACACCATCTGAGGATGGACTTGCATGTTCATCATTACCAACAACATAATTGTCCTCATCATTGGAGCTGAAATCAACGATATGGAACGCCGGTGATTAACTGACAAAAGAGATACGTACTTAATAAGACGAAAGCCCGTAACCAAGCGAGATGGGATTGGAGGAGCATTTACACCAAGCGCTTATCTAGACTATGCGACAAAAGCTGGAGTGTGAAGCATGTACCGCTGTAGCTGAGGAATCAGAACAGAAGCTCAGTGTTTGTTGTCTCACCTAAATGAGGTTCCTGTCCTTTCGGATTGAATCTTACTTCATGTAAATTTCGACCGTGTTCCTGAATTCAACATCCGGCTACACTCCTCGTCCACAGCCCTCTTTATAACGTTCTCATTGTTACTCTGTCATCGTGTTTCAGTGACATATAAATCCGGTACCGTTACAAATAGTAAATGATAAATGAACGGTGCATAAGAAGAATAGGAGAATCCGGGGTTCTCTTGGACCATTCGGAATGCAGCTGGTAGATTTGAGTAAATCAGGCTGTAAGTTATCACCGATGGGCACGGAGAAATCGAAATTCCAACACAGTTTTATTCATGTTGGACAACAGCCAAGTACAAACCACACTGGAACTGGGTGCCTATGGCACCATAAGAGCTCGCTCAGATGAGCGCGGTGTGGACAGTCCACCGCGTTGTTGTGATACAGTTACTCCGGTCACGGTACGTTTCTGTGGGGTACTAACTACTAACTTCAGATACCTGGTTGTGCTTGCTTTGTCGAAAAGTGTGCGTCGATATGGGCAGTTGGTTCACAGATGTGAGTATACTAGTCACATATAAAACAAATTCACAAACTAAAGTCCTGTTCAGTAGATTCGAAGTCCTTAAAATCATCGGATCTCGGTCCATCATTGGATTATCAAGCTTTTTTGTAGGAGAGGCTGGAATTGACTGATTTGACTGTCCTGCTGTGGAATCTTCTTGGACCAATACTGCCTTCAGCACAAAACCAAGGTATGTTACTTTGAGGTTCGCATTAGAGCGTGAGATTGATTTCAGCGAGACTATTTGCAATTAAATTAAACAGATTAGTCGTTTGGTGATCGTTGAAGCTTGAACTCAATAAACTATATGAAAGCCGTTGCAAGCAGAAAATTTAACCATGACTTTAGAACACCTGCGGAAAACCTGGGGCCAATAATCAAAACGAGACATAAGTATCTTGGCTAAGTTAAAACCTAGATCGATTCTGGTTGAACAGAATCGTCCGCAGGTCAAATAACCGCATATATCGGTCCATTCTGGATTTGTGAAGAAAGCAATGCTGACGACGCCCGATAAACATGAGACAAGTTCTCTCAGCTCACATTTCCTGGAGCGACTGGTGAAAATTCTTCCCTCACTTTGAACTCGGCTTTCCCCATCCACAACATACATACAAGGGCTTGTAACGCGTAGGGAGAGCATGAAACATGTTCCTGTTGAAAAATTAAACAGAGCATTTTTGTCTTCAAATCGCAGAGCGAAAACCATTGGAATACAACGGGAAGTACGCCCTAAGGAAGCCGAAAAACATCAGCAAGGCTCACTGAGAAGAGAAATTAGAAGACATTTCGATGAAAAAACATAATCAGCTGACAGACAACAAATGATATGTTCTGATCGCACAATACTCATCAGAAGAGCGGGATAGCATGTAGAAAAAGTGTGTGCAATAGATAAAATATGCGGTGCAGTAGAAAGAAGGATAGGTGAAATGTGACTATACATCAGAAGACGCACGGTGGGATGCGGGCAGGGAAATGTTAAACGAAGTCATGCGTTCAAAGGAGGCCCGGCGAATGATCGACCTGTAGATTTTTTCCGAAAAACAGCAAAAACGTAAATACACTCATTTTCATTGGTGTAAGAGTCCTGCACACTATTCAGCACATACGCAGCAAAACAGTACAGCTTGAATTGACAAAGTGCACAAGTACAATTGACTGTAGGCACGAGGCCCTTACGGTGATGGTGCACAGAGAGCTACAAGAGCAATACTTATGATCCTACCTGATGGCGGTCTTCGTGCTGAGCTTCTTGATGGCCTACTAGATACGAGAACATCGCGCTCTGATGTCGGTTTGAAGTTCGTTTAGTGGAAGGTCTTCTAGGGGCAAATACAGGGGAGCATCCACACACATTCTCGTAAAATCATGGTTCTTAAACACCTCGCATCATCACTCAGCTCGAAACAAAACCAAGCATGAGGAAATTTGATGACCCTAAACTTAGACCGGATGCCACATTTGTGCTTCACAATTTTCCAGCCTGTTTGAATCCCGTCTTTAGTGCCATCAGTAAGAGAAGTTTTGCATCGTTCCGTGAACCATAGTGAAGTTCTAGAATGTCCTTATACACAATCAAATGTGGGTTACTTGACAGTTAAAGCGAATAAAAAACACGAAACATAAGTAAATTTGTTTTAGAATATCAGTACAAATGATGTGGCTTAGGTTGTGCTCCGTGCTATTTATTTGGGTTGATCATTGGTGGAAACACAAAGCTAATATCGGAGTTTCCGTAAGAACACGATGACGATGAATGATATTCGTTAGAATCAAAACAGAAATCGCGAGGGAAAGAAACAGAGATCGATTGGCGACTACCAATGTGAAATCAAACTTCAAAAGCCCCCCCAACCCCGACTAGTCAAGGCCGTCCACAATGATTGAAACGTTGGGTTATTAAAGGAAGGCTCTGTGTTGACGGCCTAATAGCAACATCTCCAGTAGTGTTTTTGACGTCCTAGAAAGAAACCAAAATAAAATTGATGCGGTAAGTCCACACCAACAACAGTCCCGTGGTTTCTAACTTATTGAATATGATTCAAAGGATGAAAGCTTTCGGGTATATGCAGTGACTAGGATCCTTACCCGAAAATGCAACCACTGAGGAGGCTGCCTCTTTGGCCAATTGCTCTTGCATATCCAATAGCTGTGAATGTCGCTTGATTCGAGAGGTAGGGCTTAACTGCGTAGCGGGGTCTCCGGCATCCACATCACAGTCACTCGCTAGACTATCATCAACGGGGTAAGCAGGGATAGGAAATCAAGGAAAGGCGTTTAGAGTGAGGACATTTGATAGAAAAATGAGTTAATCATTTATCCTGCTGCTGGCGCGCACTATAGAGGCATGCAAGCGATTTGCATGTGAAGATATTCAAGATACTTAATCAAATCGTGGTTTGCTAAATTGAATAATATGTGTTAAATTCAACCTGAAATTGTAGCTCCTTTCCACGATGATCAGATTTTTTGATATACTAGTAGGAAAAGATACGAATATGGGGTTCTAATGTCAGTGGTCTGCTGTTGTTCGATGCGCATGACCAACCCAGCACAACCTAGTACGTAAATTTCGTGCGCCTGCCGGATGTACGTTCATTTCTCCTACTTCAATGCACTCCAGATCTGATGTTCTCATTAAATCCTCGCAGTCCTTCAGAGATATGGATTTTCGAACCATGAGGGCGTTTTACTAGTTGCTATCTGTGGCCAGGTTTCCCATTTGCATAACAGTGCGGGACGCATTGGGGCGTTGGAAATCTTACCAATGATGGAAAACCTTATATCAGTTCGACGTCATGGGAGTCATATTTTGGCTAAAGCCGCCGTCATTTTCCTATTCCAAGGGTGATTTCGTCCATAACCAGAAAACTCCAAATGAAGCAAATGCCAAACCAACAGATTTATCCATCACATCAATTGGTTCATTTGCAAGTACAGGGATTACGTTTAGTCTCAAGCAAGATAAGCAGCTCATTCCAGAAAATACCGTTGAGTTAAGTAGTGATAGTAGTGTTTAAACCCCTGCACGATCCGGTTCAAGTGGAGCTGTTTGCTCGGCTGACTAGGTGTCCGCAAGGGGATATCCTTGGAGAATTTCGATCCAGAAGGTGTCAGCGGCAGGTGGAGATCGTTCCATTAGCATGTCAGAGTGGACGCATTACAAGCAACAGAATCGCTGAAATCAGTGCACATGGTGAATTCGGGTGAAACTTTCCTCAAGACCCCAACTCGTCCACGAGAGTTGAGATAGAACGTTTCTGATAGGGTGGTGAAATTGTACTCAATAACTGCGTACGACAGAAGTTGCCATAGTGCTTAGTGATCAGCACAGTGGAAGGCAACCACTTTTGGCCATCCAGATCAGTGAAGCTAATCCATCATTTGCAGGGGTGGATATCTGTGATGCAAAGTCACGCTCCGCGAACCGCCACGTATCTGGATCCCTGGACGATACGACATTCTGCATGGAGTAGGATCATATGGCATTTTAAAAGGCACAGAAACTGGGCTGACTTCCCGGTAGTTCACTCAAAACATTCGTGTCCCTACTGGAGACTAGGACGATGGAAGTAGCAGTCTGAGAATATCCCTTCTGTGTTCCACGCTTCTCATAGTAATCCGGTCAAAATGAATACCGAAGTGCCATCACCCCCTCTGAAAAGCCTCGAATTCTGCACTATCAGGCACTCTGTCAAGTTCAGGCGGTGTACTGTACTCCCTCCGGTGGGGAGTATGTTAATACAAGGGGCTGTTTTGCAGGAGACCAGCTGAGAAGGCCTGGTCAATTATTTTAAACGATGCTTATAAAACCGAACTGATGGGCCATTCCCTTTATCGATCGGCTGACGGTCGATTTATTCTGGCTGATCAGGTCACCCACGGTACGGTTATTTTGTGTTACGAAGGGGTTTTTCGATTTCCTTCCTCTCAGCTTCAACAGTATTTTTTTTCATTGGAACTGTGTGCACTATTCTATCACCACTCCTGGGAGTTTCCTGTTGTGCTATTTTTGGTATATCAGTTTGGGAAAGAGCATCGACAGAAGCGATCGGTCAGTGTTGAATATTCGAAATTTCCAGAAAAATAGCGGTCCACTGTCTGGTTTGGCGATAAGGAAGAACAACAATTTGAATCAGATGCTTTTGTTTAACAGACCGGACGTGTGATTAAGAAACACACCGGTGGTGTTGACAAAGGGGGTCCAACCTATGTCACGTGCTGACCTTTGTCCCTTGTTTGCCATGAAAGTACATATCTGACCGTGCGAAACAAATGGTTAGTGACTATAAATCATAAAGAAAACCGGCAGCGGGCCTTACAGCAACACAAAGGGTGTTTCAAACTAAAGAGTGCCTTAAGTGACTGCTGGTACGGTAGGTGATTAACCATGACAAAGTGGAGATCAAATACACCACTCATCGTTTAACTACCAATTCATCATGAAGCTGTTAAGAACTTTGACTATCGTCACGTTTTGTACGTTATTGATGGGGCAGCGCATAATTAACAATTTTAACGACTAGATTAGGTCGATTTGAGAGTGAAGTTACTTTCCTGTTTTTGAACCTGTGTTGGTGAGAATTCATAGTGATCTAGTTACATTGGAGATGTTCTCCGGGTTCCTTTTCCCGGCGACAACTGAGTGAGAAAGCAGCTAAAGTCCTCGAGGGTTTACCTTATACTTAGTCATTAAAGTCATACTTAACTAGTGGTAAATTATACCATGACTTATGGTCGGACCTTGCACATTAAGACGGTCGGTGAATATGGCCACCCAACTAAAATGGTTGTATATCAGGTTGAAGTGACGAAAACTCAGAGAATTATTTGGACTTGTGTGGTGACCTGGAAAAGGTAACCGAGGTTCATATACTGTTTCTAGTGTGGACCTCGCAAGCAGTGCATCCACTTGCCATCATCTGCCATTTTTATCTCACTAAGTACACATAGGAAATGTATAGGTGGCACGATTCTCATGCAGGATTGGTCTTACCACTCACCTCTGACGGAGGAGCACATCTCTCAAAGCGCTAAGCCTTTTCTCTTTATTCTGCCGATACTCTGGGTCAGTTGGTTCTCCAGTTGGTGGAGACGGAACGTACCGCGCACCGATGTCCATTGGTTCTGGTGGGGCAAACTAGAATAGAAGAATGGAACTTTGACAATGCTGTTATACCAGAAACGGAAACAATAAGCGGAAAAAATGCAGTGTGGCAGTGCGATTCGTTCTTGCATTGGGCTCGAGAGGCCAAATGGGTAGTACGAACAACGTTCGGATGAAACCTATGTGTAGGGGACGGAGTGTCCTCGTATCTCTTATCAGTGGCATAATTCAGATTCCCTCCGAACCGGAAAAATGATTGAAGCAATGTGCATGTTTGTTGGTTCGGTTAGATTGAATTTGGCGCCTGTTGTTTCCTGCTAAACAGCAACTGGGGCTCGGATTGATGCAACGGGTCGACGAAGTTCAGCGCAACCAAATATAAAAAACAACTGAGGAATGTGACTGAAAAATTTCTACCAACATGCTGTTATAGGGTTTCACGTTTTTCAGAAGAATTATTTAACCCAAAGGATACTGAAACAGGTCTAAATCCATGATTCTTCGACGGCCGCCCTCGATCCGGTTTCTCAGTTCCTTGGTAAGACCCAAACAACTTAATTTCTGTTGAAAACAATTGAAATTAATTCCTTCCCGTTCGTATTGGGGCAGAAACAGCGCAAATCACTACAGGTCTTTCCGCGCTCAACTATGGGTTAGGTTGGTATTCGTGGTAGAAAAAAATCATCTTACCGTCTTCTTCCCGGATAACATGAATAGCAAATGCTTTCGTTAATCTCTAAATTATATTTGTTCCAGCACCACAGTGGTGGATGCACCGAAACGACACCCAGGTTCATTTACGCTGAAACTTCACTCCGAGTTGCATTCGGAAAACAACGACTGTTTCCTTACTCATCGCAAATCTTATGTTGTTTTAAAAGCTGATGAGAGTGACATTTTCACGAAAGGTTTTGTGCATTATAGCGACAATTGGGTTCGTGGAATTCCGACTTCTGAATTATATTCATTTATTAGGTTTGGCTCATGGTAACGCACGACTGCGCATTTGCTTCATGTTGCTTTGTGTTGATGGTTTTAATATACTGCCTCTATTACATACTAAACTATACTACTACCTGGAGGCAAGGGCTAATTCCACGACGTTCTCACTTGCAGGTCATGAGTTAACAGTTACTTTGAAGATTGTTGTGATGAACAAAAAGGAGATCGTTCTCACTGATGACACTATTAAACAAACAATGGTGCGTACCCTCGTGCGATTAATTTCAGTACATTTACACATCTGTCTTCGAAGCTTATAGAGGAAGATAGGAATTTCGCTGATACTGATGCCTCTACATTACCGCCCACAAACCATCGACAGTTGTATTGAACCGAAGCGCAAACTCATTGTCACTGCAACCTCGCTATCCACGCAACATCTACCTTATCTACTTCACACAACACCCACTTGCGCTTGGACGAAATCACTCTACGCTGTCACGAGTGCTTCTTTCATTCTCAGTAGCATCAGGTACAGCGGCAGCTTCAAATACATCTGCTTCG